AAGAGAGCTTTGTAAGGAATAATTTCTTAGAGGACAGCCTGATTACTTACAATAAAATTCCAGGGAAGGAATAATTCTAAAAAATACAACATTTCAGAAATCCATAATATTTTTATTTGGTAAAATCAGGATATTCCTCTTCTACCCTGAGATCCAGAGAGGTCCTATATGTAGCACACACCCCTTTGTTAGGGAAGCCTGCTGTCTCCCTGGGTACAGCCCTCAGATCATTGTCCCTTACTGGTTTTTTGGGAAGCCCAAGGTCAATCAAGATTGAGGTGCCACAGTGTATCCAGAGAAGTGCAAGAGACCTGGTGATAGATCTGTCTGATGGAGCTGGGATTGTTTATCCTAGAGGAAAGAAAGCTCAGAGGAGAACTTATAACACTACAAATACCAGAGAAGAGGTCGGATGAAGGTGGGGGTCGGCTTCTTCTCCCAGGCAACCAGTGGCAGAATGAGAGGACACAGCCTCAAGCTGTGCCAAGAAAGGTTTAGATTGTATATCAGGAGTAATTTCTTCATAGAAAGGGTTGTTACACTTTGGAATGGACTGCCCAGTGAGGTGGTGGAATCACTATCTGCAGAGAAATTTAAAAGACATGTAGATGTGACACTTAGGGACACGGTTTAGTGACAGGCTTGGCAGTATTGGGTTAACATTTGGACTTGAGGACCTTAAAGTTCTTTTCCAGGCTAAATGATTCTATAATTCTTGACTCTCCATTTCCATTTTCTGTAGATGTACCTGTGTTTTTAAATGTACTTGTATCTCTTGGGGGAAAGGCACTGACTGGAGTACTTATTCTCATAACTAATGTCCTAGCACTTTAAATAAACAATTCAAGGTGACAACTTTTCCTATGTGTAGCTGGTGAAAGAGAAAAAGCAGCACCTGTTTCCATGGAAAGCAAATATCATTGTTCCTTTCATGACTAATAAAAGATGATGCATTATTACAGATATGTAAAAGGTTATCTTTTTATTCCTCTCTTTCTATAGATAGATACACATATAACTTCTTTACTACTCTGTACTTGTACATTTATATGCTAAAATAATATTCTTGTTCAGATTATTACTGGAATTACATTAACCTATTGAAGATTTCAGATTAACCTTATTATTTCCATACCATCTTCTCAGGATAATTAATTAAAACATGTAGTTGAAGCTATCTCTATTTATTTTCTTTTATATTCAGTTCTTCTCTGAAATAATTGCATAAGCAT